CCGAGACCCCGCTCAAGGCCCATGGCGCGAGAACCTCCGTAAAAAAAATCCTCACATGGGGGGGATCGACATGAAAAAGCTACGCCCGCACAAAGCCAAGGCGCCAAGGAATGATGTTGCCATTTGCTGTTCGCTTCCGCAGGAGCCAAGAATTTCCAAAGTGTGGTACAAGACATTACAAGACATGCGCCGAGATGGAAAGACCATGGAAGAACCCACCATCCTCACCCACCCATCCCTGGACCTTGAAATTCCCAAAACCACCTCCTCTGCTGATGGCTGAGAGCCCAGACCATCCACGAGCTCCGGCTGCTTGGCCTGTTCCAAGCACAACAGTGTTGTGTCGGCGTCTCTGTGCATGTGATGGCTGGCCCACGAGGGTCGTGAGAAGAGCTGAGCTTCAACACTTCCGTGCGGAAGGAAACTGGTTTCTCCACTGGCCCCTCCCACAAGGCACACCATGACTCGAAACAACCCCACGAGCGAACCGATCCAGCTAGGGATTGGCCCCTGGCAAGCCCCAGTATTGGCCCTACCCCCTTTGTACTCATCAGCAAAGCTGGGCCTTAGAGGAAGCTGCTGGAGGGTTCCGTACCTACAGACCTACTTGTCAGTGAGCCATCCTTTCATGGGTCAGTGAGCAATCCTTTCATGGGTCATCGCAAGACTAGCCCAAACAAACGAATTCAAACCAGCCAAAGGTCCGCAGGTGCGAGAAATCTCCATAAATCGAGGCCTCCTTGGAGCTCTGCCACCATCGCGGCGCAGCGGCACCGGCACCAGGCTCACCGCCTTTCACGGAAGTTTCAAGCCATTCCGACAGCCGACATTCGCAAAAGCCAGGCAACCTGCAGCTTAAGATGTGAGGAGCGGAGCGAAGTGAGACGCGAGATGATGCATAACTGGAGATTCCGACAGTGCTACACAGGTAGTGCACAGATGTTCTCTTCTGGACCAAAATCTGTTCCCTCCGTTACGTGGTCAACATACCGCTCTACTGCTTTCGTTTGCACTGCGGTCCCAGCCTCGGGCATGGCTACCACGCACAACCTGCTGAGATGTGCTGAGCAGACCAGTGCAGACCATAAGAAAGCAACGTGATTATCGTGATTACAACACATTTGGGTGTCCGATTCATCTCCGGGTCCACGACGACAGACATGAAGAAGCCACGACGTGCCAGCGCGGCAGCAGCTTCAACAAATTCTTGGCTGACTCCTGCGAATGAGCCACAGCTGTAAACAGACGACGTCTACATCACTAGGCTCACCCAGAAAGACTCGTTTCTGCCCCACACACAGCAACAGCGCGCCAAAGGCCACGAACACAAGCGTCGGCAGCTCTCCTGCGAAGTAGTCCTGACAGCCATGACGAAGTGATGCGGAAAGATGTGGGAGCCCTGCTGATGACAACAGCACTTGCACTGGCGGCAATCAGTTGCTAAGCAGCTGCAGCAGCCGGAATACGATTCTACTGCAGATGCCCCATCGCTCGAGAAGGCAGTCCTCGAGCTGAAAAGGCGACACGCCATGATCTCCACGTGACCTACGAGTTGAGCTGACAGTATCGGCGAGTGGCGTTCACATAGAGCTGCATATGCACACATGCTGAACATACTGGCCTGCAACACATCACGTTATCCAGTTCGAAGGCGACCTCTCATCATTTGACGCTCTTAGCCAAAATCCTGCCTGCTGCAAGAAAAGAACTCGTTGAGCCAAGGCTCGACAGCAACCTGGAGTCATTGGCACGAATCGCGCTTTCCGAATTTGACATACTCAGATCTGGCGAGGAAGGTGGCGCCATGTGGCGCTAATTGCACAATCTTGCACAGTGCCCATGAGTTCAGGCTGGACCCATAAGCCGTAGCCTTAGCCTTGGAGACTGCCTTATAGGGGCCCTGTAGGCGGGAGCCTGCCGGGATCGCAGCCAAGAAGTGAGACGCTCGATGCGCGTCTTCTCCCTCACCGCAAACCAGTCCTTGTTCCAGGGAACTCAACATAACTCAGCCGGATCTTTGCTGCAAGCTGGCTCCTCATCATGAATTGAAAGTACTAGGTAGACCCGACTTCCGGAAAGTCTCGAGATCCGAGTTGCGAAGTACCAGCAAGCGATGCCAAGGCCAAACACCACAGAGAACATGGTATCCACCTCAGGCTCCAAGTGGAAGTAACTCAGGAGACAGCAAGCCGGTTGAATCGTGCTAAGCTGCTGCGTGTGTGCTGACAGAGTTGGCACCACGAGCTTTGGCAGACTCGTGCGCTTTCTGCTCACGGCGTCTGGCCTCCTGCGGGAGTAAGAGCAGGACTGATGCCAGGTTTGACACAATCCACGTCTAAGCAAAGTTGCTTGAACAAACAGGCGCCGACTGGGCTCTCCCCAAGGTCCTGTCGTGCTCCTAAACACACCTGAACTCGCCACCAGCATATCCCACGCTGCACACCCTCAAGAGAAAGCAGCTTGGACCGCAGGGTCGCTCCCTTTTCTTTTTCTCAGCAACATATTGCACAGATTGACCATCAGCTTGACGACCGCCAAACATCATCTGCCGCGGAAACAAGCAACCCATTGATTTCCTTGATGCACGCCCCACAAACCCCAAAAAACAAACCAGATCCCGGCAAGGGCTTGCAAAGAAGAAAAACAGCTCCAGCCCCTTACAGTTCGGCTACAACAAAGGCTGCACAGCAGTGGGGTGTTTCATGTAGAGATCATGTAGAGCTTCATGTCACCGGATTTACCCAGAGTCGCAAACAGCACAGGTGATAATTACAGCTGTGAAGTAGTGCGCATACAGAAACCACAGCACCCTCATCGCAAGTCCTCCACGCTGACTGCCAGTGATCTCCGCTGGGGCCTGGGCCCGTCCGGGAGCACCTAATTACATCTAGTCATCTAGTTTCTTTTTACCGACACTTACTTCTAAGCCTCACGAGCATCGAAGTGGCTGAATTAGCGACATATCTGAGGATCGATGAAGAGAGAGATGGAGAGAACAAGAATCAGACTGGGGAAAAGAAAATCAGGAATCCAACGGGCATTTCGCCTGTCGCTGCCCGAAAGGCCTTTTGCCAGGATCGAGCGCTGCAGAAATAAGCGTTGCCCAAACATGATTGGGATGGTTTAATCTCAGAATTACTGCCAACCAAACCGGCCACATCGCCTCCAAAGAAATCACGAAGATGGGATATTCGACCCACTGTCTGAATGGGATGTCCAGCTGCTTCGAACACTTTCACCTCGTAAGTTTATGTAAGTTTTCAACTTACGGGTCACACGTGACATGGGCATCCTTTTGGTCACAAAACCACCTACGAACCCATACCTCGCAACAAATCCGCAGACTAGTTCGACCCACGACTGTCGCGTAGAAGATTGCCCTTAAGGAAAATACCATTGGGAAGTAAGAACAAAGTTTAACACAAGCCGCATAGCGGGCATGTTCTTAACAGTATTTCCCCATTAGATTTCCTCCATCGCGACGTGAAGGCCCACTCTACGAGTGATGATGAGTTCTTTGCGCGCATAAGCGTATCTGGGATAAGCCCTCATGACGTCCTCCCAAACACCTCCGTCAATCGGCAAGCCTTGCTTAAACAGGTTGACGAAACTTTGAAGGCTGTCTTCACGGAAAGACGGTGCAGAATAAGTGGGATGTGACACACTTTGCTTACCCCAGAAACGTCTACGCTGCGAACTGCCAGGATTGTTCTTTGCATGGGAGCATCATTTGAAATCTCAGCTGCGAATTGTTGAAACCTGTTGAACAACACTTGAACAAGATGAACATGTAAAAGAACGCCATCAACCAGTTCAGGTCCAAACTGCTTACACGCAGTTTCGTACTTGGCGCGCGCTGCTTGCTTAGCAGCAGCGTCTGCTCTAGCATTCAAGTCGGTCCACAACGCTGGCTGGTGTTTGTAGTCTGTAGACACGTGAGCCTTAACTGCCTTAACTTTAAACACCGTGACCAAACCATTACGCCTAGCCATCTGAGCTGAGACTACACTCCACAAGTCAACGTTATCAACCTTACTTAACAAGTCGTAACTCCAAGCGTAAGCGTTGGCGTCTAACCACAAAAAAGTATTTACGACACCCTGACAATCACTACCAATTTTAATGGGACCGCAACTGTGATGAATGGCTATCGCCAACACCCAGATCTCTGCCCTCGGTGAAGATAAATAAAGTCCGGGAACATCCCGAACCACATCTAGTAGAAGAATGAAGCATGTTTCGACAAGATTGTGTCTGATTGAGTTTCATGGAGGTGTATCCAGGTCAATGACCAAACGAATGGAAGTGCACAGGAACGATATCTCAAAAACAGAAACACCGGAGTCAGCCCGCTGGAACTGAGGGACGGCTTGGGGCAAGGCAGTTGGCAGCGCATACCGCGCGGTATCTGAAGCCCCAACCGCGACAGTCTCATGATCGAAGCACGCCAGCTGCAAAGCGTACCATGTTGCAACGGTTGCTGTGCTGTTACCAATGTTGCCTGTGCTTCTTACTACATAGGAAAGTAGGCCTCATAACGGTCCAGCGCATGGCCTTCATGGACTTCTCTCTGCTTCTCGAAGCTGCTCTCAGCTTTCGAGCAAGGACATTGCAAAACACTTCAAAAGGCGGCCTCCTGCTTCGATTGTTAACTTCCAAAACACACTGGCTCAAATGGCTCACATAGCTCTTCTGATGGCGGTCTCTCTCATTTTCATTCGTTGCTCAGAGCGCTGTGTCAGGAGTCGAGTAGAACAGAGCAACAGCCGGCCCATCATCTTGGAGGCTCCCTTGCTCCACTCCCTTCTGCTCCGCTCCCCCTTGCTCTCTGTAGAGTCAGAGGGTGAGAGTCTGAGAAGGAAGAGGGTGGATGGTCCTTCTTCCCCGTCCCTGCATCGTTCGCCTTTCTTCCACGTGGAGCCCACTCCCCTCCTTCTCCTTCCACCCCCACACCCATCCCGAGATTGTTACCCCCTCCGTAGGTCCGTAGGTGGGTAGGGTCATCTGGGGATCCGAGGATTCCGATGCCATATTCTCCCCACTTGGACCAACTTGACCAAGACCTCGGTCTTCACGAGCCAAGACATGCCAAGACGGGTCTCAGGCGTCTCCTCCGTTGCCGTGGCTTCAGTATGGTGCCGGCCGGGTTCCAATCTTGGCTGGGAGCGGGCCGCTCTCGGAGCCAGGGATACCACAGCATCCACAACCGCTAGCAGGGATGGCACTGCCAGCACCACCAGCACATCCAGTGCAAGGGGCAAGATTCGCTGACCTTAGAACTACTTGGAACATGACAGAACTGGCTCAAAGTCATGTGAACACAACATAAGGAAGACCCACTACTCTTCTAAATAAGGTCACTGCCCACAGGCTCCACCACCGGCGCATCCACTTCCGGGACTACCTTAAGTTGCGAAAAGGACTTATGGTGCAAAGCTGTTGCAACTGTACTGGGAGCATGTACGGCACAGCGGGGCTCTTGGTGCTCACCACGCCACCACTGCTCCCACAGCCACAGCCAAAGCCGTTGCCAGGAAGTGAACCAAATCCGCAGCCGCCACAACCGCCACCAGCGCAACCTACATTGCATCCAGCACAGCCACCGCAAGCAGCACAACCAGCGCAACCACCACAGCCCCCGCAGCCACAGCAGCCGCCGCAGACGCCGCACCCGCAGCCACCGCAGCCACCGCAGCCTCCGCAGCCACCACAGCCACCGCAGCCACCGCAGCCACCGCAGCCCCCGCAGCCCCCGCAGCCCCCGCAGCCCCCGCAGCCCCCGCAACCACCGCAGCCCCCGCAGCCACCGCAACCACCGCAGCCACCGCTAAAGCCACCACAGCCCCCGCACCCACCGACACCTTGCCCACACATTCCCCCGGTTTGAATACTTCCCGAGTTTGCCATGCCGTTGCCGGCTGCACACCCACCACCTTGGCACTGGCCACTTCGGCCGCTTCCACCGGGTCCTGGGCACAGCACTGGGCGCAGAAGTCTGTTTTAGAGCTCAAAAAGGTGATGCAAATGACCAGGTGGCCGGCCCTCTGGCTTTGACTGCATGCCCATCATGTTCATGGCCTGCGATGTCAGCTGCCGAGAAGCAGGCAGTTAGCTGGCATGTAGCTGGCAACAGCATGTCAGCTTGGCCATCATAGGATTCATCGAAGCCATCATCATGGGGTTCATCCTTGGTATGTGGGGAAGTCGAAGGGTGAACACCAAAGCGTGTAGCTCAAAGGACACAGAGCCGGGCATACTCATCATGCCCATCATCATGGCAGGGTTCATGCCTGACAAAGAGAATGCGGGCAGCCACGGAAAGCAAGAACTTATGAGCCTGTGGTGTATGCTGCTAAGGTGCCCATCACCGACGCGGGCTCTTCGGCTTTGTCGCTCTTCTCATCTGCGTCCATCCTCAACTTTCACTAGTGAGAACTGGAGTCAAGGTCTTGGAGCATTTCCTGCGGACTACTGCAGCTGCTAGTACTGCTACACCATTCCTGAATGAAACACAAGTTTGCATAATCTTTCTTCGGTGGGGTCAAGATTTCCGAGGCTTGCCCAGTCAAGCGATCCTGACAAGCCTATGCTTAGCACATGCCTGCCCAGTCAAAGCCTCCAAATGCCGAAAAGCCCGCAAGTGTTCAGCTAGAACAAAGGATCGCGCTGTCCAATCGCATTCTTCATCGACTTCTCAAGCATCGACTGTGCTGCCTGCAATACAAAATAAAATCTCCCGCCAAGCAACGCACAAGCCTCACGAGCCTCACCATCGACTCAGTTTGTGCTTTGTTTGTGCTTTGCCAACTTCAACTGCCCTCAAGTTCCTTGCGGTCATCTCCGGCGTCGTCATCGCCATTTGCTGTGCCCTGACAGCTGAGTCACTTTATGACATTTCTGACTGTCAATACTTTCGATCGTCGGGGTTCGGCTGCCGCAGCCTGCTTCTTCTTCCGGTCTCGGTCATCCCGATAGGCAGAGGCCTTCTGCGCAGAGGATAGAAGCACTCGCGTCAACGAGAAAGCGCATGGAATGAGAGGATGCGCAGCCAACAGAAAACAGCGGGAACAACACCAACAGGACCTCTAGGTCAGTATCCCATGCTGACACTGTCAAGCGACCAATTACTGCAATTGATGGGCTGGGGGGGGCTAACCAAGTTAGCCACTTCCATGCCACCGCTAGGCGACCAGAGATCTGGACATGAAGGCCAAGCAACAGGAACAAAACTCAAGCAATCGAGCAATCAGGGGATGACAAAAGTCTGCCCTTGCTGTACCCGTCGTCTTGGTTGCTTGCATCATGCTGCATCGTGCTTACCGAGAGGCGCTGAAGGCACGTGCCAGAACGCGACGAAGCTCGATGGCGAAGCATGTTGAAACATGTGCTTTAGAGGCCAGTTAGGATTTCAATTTGGAAACGGAATCTGGGCCAGCCCATGCTGGCGGAAGAAGTGTTGAATGGATTTGAATGGTTGAATGAGGACCTCGAGGCTGTCCTATGCTTTTCTCATCGAACTGACCAAAGACCTCACCACATCTCAGCACCAGGAGTTCTACGATGTTCTACGAGAAGAACGCCCCACAAGGATATCAATTCCAAGTCGCGGGTCTGATCTTGGAGCCCATGGAAGAAATATCCTATTGTGTGGCCTTGTAGGGACAGGAAGTTGTGCTAGTTTGGGGGCCCTAGTCATCAATGGCAGCATAAAGGCATCATCTTGGATAGATTTCGAGATCAATCTATACACAGTAAACTGCTTCCAGGCTCAGGGTCTGGCGGGTCCGGCGGAATGAGCGTCGTTGTCATGCCGTTTCACGTCCACCCATTTGTTGTCTATCATGTGCTGAGCATGGGCCTTGACAAGGTTTCGAGACCGCTTGCGGCACCGTTTTCGGCATTCGGCCCACCTCGATGGCCCGATCCACAGAGTGAAGCTGCGCAAACCTCACAAAGGCGAATCCTCGAGAAGTGCCATCGGGCCTTGCGGAAAAGATCATCATCAGAACCAACAACACTCTTGCGGCGACAACACGTCAAATTCCCCATCTATGCACAGGACTGTTACACAACGCACAACTTCAAAACCTCTGCGAACAAGGCAACACCCGTTTCCTTGGGTCCAGACTGACGCTTTATCTCCACGGCCTGCAATCATGCTTTTGCTCGACCAGCACCGGGAATCTCTGGTGATTCTCAACTGTTTGTGGATGCTATGGTGACTGTTATTGCTGAAGCGTTACCAGCTCTGACGGGCCCGTGCAGCTGTCGAACATACAACAGACGGGTGACAAGGGGTCGACGTTGGGATCAGCGGTTTCCGCTCCCTCGCTGTTCAGAATGACGAGAACCTTGATTGACTGGAAACCGACGTCTGCTTTCCCTCCGGATTTGCGACATGTGGCTTCCTCGCCACCTTGTGGGTTTGCTGCAAGCCAGAGAAGTCGAGGACTTTGGATCGGGTTTTCGTCATTGGTTTGGGTGTTTGTTGTCGTTTGATTCGTGTCCGTTGGTGCATCAGCTGAAAAAGGCTGTGGACCAGCATGACGCTCAAGTTGGATGGAACAAACACACGTGGGCAGACGTCGATTTACCCAGGCCGTTTCGATTTGCTGAGTAGGAGGCGGAAGGCTGTGTGGCCGTGTTGGTACCAGGTATAGTGAGAGCATAAAAAGAAGTTCCCCAAGTCTCCGGTTTGATCATGCTCGACGTGCACATGGAACAGAACCATACTATTTGGGGGGATTGGGGCTCCGAGCACGGCATTGGGGTCCCGAGCACAGGACACTGTTCAAAGCAACTTTGCATGGCGGAAAAATGCTTGCCTTTCCTTTGGCGCCTGTTGCAACATAGAAGCGCGCATCTGCCCAAATTCCTTTCCAGCGGACGTTGCTTTCCCCACTGTCCTCGGTGTGGGGTGGTTAACGTTTAAGTCAACCATTCTCGCATATTCTCGCCTGCTCGGAGTCCCACTGCATTCTTGGGGGACAATCCCGCAGCGAGTCCCGCCGAGTATCCTTTAGTGCCCTTGAGTGCCCACTCCCACTCCCAGAGAATTTGCGGAGAGTCCCGCGATGTCCCGCGACAGAAGCCTGCAACAAAGTATCCTTGCCTGTCCGACAACGGCAGGATGCCTGGCTCCCACATGGATGTAGGGTGGGGTTGATCGATCGAAGTACATGTGTTTCAATCTATTTCCGCGTCCCCAGCTGCGTTTGCCGGTCTACGCTGAAAGCACTGCCGGCACATATCCACCAACTTAGCATCTCCCTGCAGAGCGGCCTGTCGAAGTGCATGTGTTCGCAAGCTGCAAAGCAATTTGCACTGGCAAATGCTCACATATCACATGGTTCTCCTGTTTTCATATTCTTTCAATCGTCGCACTCGTCGGGCGAGGCTTTTTTGCATGTGTCGCGCAAGGCCGGCAAATTCTTCAATGGCCTTCGCTTGTCAATTTTCTGCCGAGTCCCGTTTGTTGAGTAAAGCATCTTGCGTTTCACCTTACAGTCCCTTCGTCAAGTTCATTACGCTGCAGACCAGTTCGTTGACACAATGGTGCTGGAACCTTGCTGCACAGGCCGCGCTTGCCAAACACGCTGTCACTGGTCAAGCAACTTGCAGCCCGGTCTGTCGTTTTCTTGCGCTGGGTCGAGGTACGGGTACACGCACGGGTCCTCTGGGTGGGTCAGTGCGGGCAAGCCGACGTTGTGGAAAAAGGTTCTACCCGGATGCTGAAGATTCTCCTCGTGAGTTTTTGCTGCTAGCACGCTCGAAGTTCTGTCCACCAGGATCGATGAATGCATGCGTGCATGCATGAATGACTGAATGAATGCATGCATGCATGAAGCTGCTGTTGCCACATGCACCTACACTAGCAACATCTCTCACACCTACAGTCCTCTCAATGGACAGCAAACTCTTAACCGTTCTATGTCGAGAGCCGAGACGTCTCTTGGAACGGGGGATCTGTGGCAAGCCGCCGAGCCTGAACCTCCCCGAATCTGGCAAAGTGCGCATGGATGCGGTCCTCCAAGCGGCAGGGCAAGCACCGCTTCGTAGAACAGAAACCCTACCCATACGGAAGGGCGAAACACCTTCAGCTACGCATACACCAAACATGGTAATGTGCAAGAGCTTTGGAATGCCAGAGCATCAACAAACTCGTCTGCTAACCCTGCTCCTCCGTTGTTGTCTTGCGAAGCCCCCCCACGAAAATGCGATAAGCGTTGGGGTCAGCCTGGACCAGCGAAAGACCAAAGCACAAGGTGAAGCACACTGGCTCAAACTGGCTCAAACCGGCTGCAAGTGCGGCGTTCGAAGGCCTTTGCGGTTGCCTCGCAGGCTTGATTTCGGCGATCGCAGGAACGTTTCTCACACCCGTACAAAGGTTGGCAGGGGCTGACCATCCCCGCGCTCCTCCCCCGTTACCCTTGGCAAACCCGGTGCAAACCCAAACGGATGCACTTGCATAGAACTGAAGCTGCTTCGGCTTCCAGAAACCTCTTCTACTGCTTCAGTGCCTCTAGATTGGAAACCTGCTTTGATGTTGCTTGGGCTCGGCCATGGCAGCTGAACTGTGAGGCCAGCAAGATTTCCACAGGGTGCTGGACTCAAAACGGGGAGGCTTGGAGCTCAGCGCTATCGTGGAATCTGCCGCCTCCTTGGAACACCTCTTACGACCCAACACTTGCTGCTCATGACCCGAGCCTTGCCGGACATGTCCTCAAGGGGCCACACCTCAGCATCTACAGAGCTGCCAGGATGTGCCAGGAACCAAGCCCAGAAACTCTGACTTCTACATGAAACTAGAGAAACGAATCTGCACGCATGGACTGCACGGAGTCTGGCAGTTGCTGATCGGCCATGAGCAGGCCATTGCTTTACGGCACGTTGTATCTTCAACCTGTCATGTCGTACTTAACAAAACACACTTTAGGCACCACGCATGTTGGCCTGACTTCTGCACATAGCTGCGAACGCAAAACAAAACAGCAACTCTGTCAAAGTGTCAATGACAATCGGCGGGCAGATGCGCAACTCATCACAGCATGTATCACAACTCTGCAAGGCTTTAGGCCCCTGTCGGCCACGGCGCTGAAGGATGCCCGATGGCGTGCTAGCAGCGTGCCTGCGTCTTTTTCGACACTAAGCACACGCCACATGTTCTTTGGCGGTCCAGAGCCCTAAGAAGGGTTCTCAAGAGGACTTCGAAAGTCTCGTAAAACTGCCTCTGGTTTTGCGGGGCATCTCCTGGCATCTCTAGAGTCTCACTGGGTCTCAGAGCTTTTGCAAATTTGCAACTGCAACTCATTGAGGACTTGCTGCAGGCTGCCACACAGGGGCGCGGCACAAAAGCCCACAAAACCAGACAGGGAGAGCATTTTGCTGACCCGGTGCGCGAGAGTAGCTGCGCTTGGTGCAGACGGACTCTATAAGTTAGAGTTTCCCGTCGCATTCGCTAGCTAAAGTAAGGGTGCCGGGGCCTGACGAGCTATGGGGTGCATCCGGGCTTTACAGGGTACAGTGTGTACAGCACCTGCTGAAGTACAGAGAGGGTTTGGCGAAGCATGGCGAGGCCCGCTCCGCCAGCTGCTACCGGGCCATGACGCTACGCGAAGAGCTTCGCATCTCCAGCAGCGCTCAGGCAGTTGACCCTCGGGCGAGACTCATCAAGACTCTCGTCAAGACTCAAGACAGTATCAAGACTCATCAAGGCTTCATGCCTTCTGGCAGCACACAGGTAAGGAGACCACGCACTGATCACGGCTTTCAACACAGCTGTGTTGGTGTTCCTGCTCCCAACAGTTCCAGGGATGTAGCAGAACAGGAGAGAACATGACCACGGACACAAAAGCGTTTATGCGTCCTGTGCAGGCCGACGCCAAATCTGGATTTGCCCTGAGGGCTCCCGCTTGTCGAAGACACCGCCTGGGCGGTGTGGCGATCTGACACTTTCGGTTTTGGCATGCCAGGAGGTTCGAGGCTGCTGCTTGGCATCTCACCGAGGCAACCTTGGGGACAAAACGCCGCGATCCACTCACAAGAAAAGCCGAGCATCTTGGAAGCAATTGGAACACCGGAAGCATGTTGGAAGGACGGCACTGCTTCAGAACCTTCCGCATTCTTGCATTGGCTTCGCCTTGAGTTCAGGCAACAGAAAGTCGTGGCGTCACTTGTGCCGGCACTCGTGCTGGGTGCTAAATGCGTAAACCGCTTGTGCGAACGCTGTGTGCTTCTGCACGACATATACATCCCGAATCTCAAGGAATCTCAAGGTCCCGGCGCTTCTGAATGGTAGTCTGACAGGTGGACTTCAACGCCCTGCGAGGCCAACTCCATCCAACTGAAGGCTACCATGCCCGTCTCTTTCCCACCTGCCTTTGGCCGAAATACCTCAGAGATCCAAAGACATGTTGCACTGCATGGCACAGATTCGTACTGTTGCTGGTCAGCAGCGCCCTAAAACCTTAAAATTAAATCATGTTAATCACTAAACAACTTTCCAAGCTCAAACAATCCTTGTTGGGACGCGTGGCGAACTCATTCAAAGCTGTCACGAAAGCAGAGACCGGACCGTTGCCCTGCGTGTCCAGCTGCGCAAACGCTTAGCAATACCAAAGCTCACCGAAAATTTCACGTTCACACACACACACACACACACACTTGCACTGACTTCAGCAACAACAGACTTGCAGTCCGCCTTGCCAACAATCTCATGCTCCTCAACAGCGGACAAAGGAGCATGAAGAGGCGCAACTTGTCGGCCAAGTCAGCAGACAGCTCAAGAACTGAATCCACCACGCAGTCCTTGCCGGCTGCCCGAACTCGAGCCTCAAAGCCAACTGCGGCTTCTCAATTGCAAGCATCATGCTTCTATCTTTCGGTCTGCCGTAGCAGATTTGTTGGCAGCAGCAGCAGCAGCAGCGGCACCTTCAGCGTCACATCATCCTCCTTCTGGGCAGAAGATGTGGATCTGGCAGGTGAGCTGCTGCCACAAAGCCAACCACATCACTAAAGCAAGGCAGCGCGGCAGGTCATAATCCACGAGAGACACAGGCTCCTGCGCCAAAGCCCGACAAAGAACTGCTTTCTTACAGGCTCCATGGTGGCAAAGGCATAAGGGCACGCACTTCCGCGTGAAGGTGCTGCACTCAGGTTTCGGGTTTTAATGCGACTTCGTTTCCCTTTATTGTGTGTGCCATTTTCTGGGTCCTCGGAGGACCTACAACCCCCAAGTACCCTTCAAGACACACAAAATTTTCAGAACCACCTCACAACCCCCCAACAACTCTTGAGGGGTTGGGGCTGGGCTACCGCGCCCTCCCTAGCAATTCCTACAACGTGGAACGGGGAATCGGGGCGGGAGGGGGGTTGTAGTGTTGGGCTGGCTTCGTACTGATCACAAAGTATGAGTAGGAGTGGTCGCAACAATAGTTGTAAACAGAGATCAAAGCTAATTTGCAGCCCGATTGGCAACCTCCAGAAGGGGCGGACCTTTCTGGAGGGGATCTCCGGACTCTTGTTTAATATGATCAGGTTGAATAAACGGAGGAAGCGACTAGGATACGGAATCAAGCTGTGTTGGGCAAAGGTGCGAGGCTTTGAGCACACAAGAAAGGTTGAAGAAAGGTTGCGTTTGCGGCCTGGGTGCAAGGGTCCAGTGTCCAAACAAAGTCATTCTTCCCGTGAAGACCCGTGCCATGCGTAAAGTCCTAGCCTAGCACGTCCGCTGGAGAGATTGTCCCAAACGTCCCAACAGACAACCCTCACTGACCTCCAAAACCCTTCTTCAATGATTCCTTTGGCTTCACATGAGGGCTTAACGTTCCTGTCAAATGCTGCGCACAAGACACCAGGAAACTTCAGATTCCTGAGGGTCGAGGTATGTCTGCTTGAACGCGTCGAAGATCTGCAAGCCAGAGATCTCCTCTTAGTCTGCCAATCATATGCAAACACGCTTGCACGGCACAAGGGTCTAACAACAAATGTTGATGTGGAAACAGTTTAGACGGACCCATCGCCTATAAACTTCCGTAAGAAGCAGATACTATCGTAGTGTTAAGCTTCCGGGGTCCAGTAATTCGCAGCGCCATTAAATACAGTCGTTTACGACTTCACAAAATCCACCGTGTTAGTCCTTGCTGGTCTTGTCAGAAATCTTCTGGACCACCTGCGAGCCGATCTAGTTCATGGCATGTGCCGCACAGACCAGACTAGTCTGCACTGTGCCTGGGCAAATTCCGCCTGGCAGTCCTCAAGGCACGCAGCAACGCTCAGTCACTTGAATGCCTCGTAGCGGGAACAAAGGATTTATCAGCGGCCACTTACAACAATGCATTCTGGGATGTGCAATGATGCGCGCATGCTCCTTGGGCAAGGCAATGCCATACTCCTGCTCCAAGATGTAGGCGATACCACCCTGATTGTTTTGTTTTGGTGACCAGCGAACACGCAACACGCCAACTGCACGAGCCTTCCCGCTTTGGCTGTTAACTCGGATGATGGCTTCGTAGTGGCGGCCTATGTCCTCCAGAATCATGACACTGTCAACGCCATTTACTCGACCTGGCTAGCTTGGCTGCAACGAAAGCGCTCCTGAGGATCAATTGGAAGGTAAGGGACTTCCCAGACATCATGCTTCTTGTTGGCCTGCGTGTCAATGAGCAAGGCCTGACGCCCTACAAATGTGCACAGAAGGCCGCTGCATGCTGCCGTTCACAGGACTCGAGGCCTCCAGGCCCTTCTTGATGGCATCCTGCAAGCAGAAATTCTGTTGTCGAAGGGTATCGGTCAAGGTATGACTACGACACGTGATTGATCGTGTACCGCTAGTGACATGCTGAGTCCTGATGCGATCCAGAGAAGGCAGTGTAAACCAAACTTCCAGCCCAGGGGTATCGCCTGAGAATTTCCGAGCTGTCCATCGCTTGCTCCGAGTGCAGTGCGCATGCAAGGCCATGCTGCGACCTTTTTTCCAAAGCCTGACCAGGTAGGTTAATCTCTGAGCGTCGAAATGGCTTCAAATCCAGGTCCGCAATAAACCTGTCCAGCCAGATACCGTTGCCAATGTGCACGTTACCATCAGAGTAGTCCCTCGACAGAAATCCATCGCTGTCTGCATACTGCTCGTAGACGTCGAAGAATCTGAAGCCATACTTTAAGCACTCAGTTTTCAAGCGCTCATTGAAGTACCTCATGCTGATCATGCAACATGCATGCAAGCTTCAATGTCAAGTAAGAACCCAAAACTGGCTAAACAACAGCAAGAAACTTGGGGTCACATCGCCAACCTTTTGCCAGTGTAGCGGGGGGAAGGGCATCTTTTCAGGACACGAAAGGATTGGACGTTCGGTTCCCGTCACCTCGTGAAACCGCTCTGAGTCGTAAATCTGTGCATCAACACCGCCCACCCCCCCCCCCCCCACCCCGGCCCTATCGTTTTTCAAATTCGATGGATACGCATGGCTTAGCGCATGAGGGGGAAGAACGCACAAAAGGACGATTAGGAAGAAGTCCTTCGGAAGGCGTCTTCGCAACAGCGTGCTGACTTTTTTCACAAAAGAAGCACATAGAGAAGCACTTAGAAGCACAGAGGCATGAGCTAGGCAGCTGGGCAGAGTATCATGCAGCGAGACTCGTGGATCACTTTCGACTAAGCGCTGCTGCCCAAAGCTAAAGAGTAAGAAGGCCCTTGAGGAACTTGTTTTCCTTATCTGCTGAGTTGCAGCACGTAGCTCTTTCGGTCCGAGTCTTCACCAATATAGGGAAACTCAGGGACCTCAGCCACGTCACAGCCCTTTGCTGGTGGGGGCACGTTGAACACAAAGATTTTAACTCCAGCAGGGAGATTCCCCGGGCGTGTCTGCGCACGCAAGTGGCTGATATAACGCGCGATGATCTCGTCGATCACTTCTTCGTAGGGTCGAGGATTCTCACCTTGCAAGTCCTTGTACCTTTGCTTGTGTACATGGCATCTGCAGTCAATCTCGCCAAAGCAAAGAATCACCGCATCACCTTCCCATGGACATGCCAGTCAGCAGAGGGCTCGATCTAAACTAGGGACCCTTTTAGAACACCCTGAACTATAAGGGCTTGGGGTTCGGGACTTCTATGGACTTTTACAACAAAAGAATCCAAAGGGCCCAGTTTTAGCTCAAAACCGGGGTTTTGGGGCTTGGGGCGCCCGGCCCCAATGGGAGCTCTTGTGAGCAAGGACGTCAACTAGGGCTCGGAAATTTGGGGTCTGGGGCTTAAGCTTTGCAGGGTTTAGGGGGAGCGCGGTTTGCATCCCCGACCCCGAACCCTAAGCATCCTCACCACACATAACTGACCAAGAGGACGGCGACACGTCCCTGAAAAAGGTCGGTTTGTGGGAGGCCTGCGAAAACAAAGTGAACCAAAAGGCTTCTCACTACACCTCTGCCACGCCTGCCTTCCCGAAGCGGAGGCGTCAGCTTTCGGAGGTCAACGCGATGCACGTTGAAGCCAAGAAGCGGTCCCTGCCAGTGCTGGAGGACAAACTTTGGCCACCCAAAGCAGGAGTGGCTGTCCCCCACCGTGTGAAATATCGGGACGCGATCTTCTTTTTGCACATCCATGTCCAAACACAGGTGAATATCTTGTCGGAGTTTGGCGACCACCTTGTCACCTTCACAGGACATGTTTTCCCCGCCACAGTCAGCATGCAGGCCAGTTTCCCATCTCATCTCGGTCACCCCTTTTGGTGATGCTTCAAAGCCAAATCTAGGCAGCGTCTTCTTCTGAACTTCGAAGGTCAGCAACACCATCCGTGCATGATTGGTGTTGTTGTGTTGTGCTCCCTGCCTCAGTGCCTGGTAGTCGGCCTGGAACTTTTCGCCCTGGAAGGCCTCCAACATTTCGTGCAAAAGTTGCGTCATAAGCCGCGGGGAAGTTCTCACAATGAAGGCGCAGGTCTTGCCACATTTGCCACTTTTCCCAACCCATGAGGCTTTACGTCTTGATCTGTCACCCATTGTCCACAGCAAGTTCCGAGCAAAGTCCGTGCCCCACAAGGTGCTCTGACTTGCCTCGCTCGTTGTGGCCCAGTCCAGGAGTGCCCAAGCCCCGGAGAGGTCGCGATCATCTTCTCCAGACGGTCCAGACGGAAGGAGCCCTCCCTGCAGCTCCTGGCATGGCATATGGCAACTGCAGAGTGGTCTGCTCAAGACTCAAGCGGGGGCCTTCAAGCACTGTAGAAGCTTCGACAAAGCCAAGGAGACGTCCAGAGTCACATCCTCATCATCCTGGGTCCAGCACAAGAGGGTCCCAACAAGCTGATCGAGATCGACACCAGATTGACACTAAGCAAAGGAGTTGCGGCTGAAGTATGTTGAAGCATGTGTTGAAGTATGTTGAAGTGGGTTGGAAGCGGAATTAAAAGGATGCCAATTCTTCAGCGGCACTGGAGCTGACAAAGCCTCGTGGACCGTGTCGGAGAAGCTGCACATCTGGCTGGCAAAGCCTTCCCAGAGTGAAGCGCTGTGAGCCTCGTAAGAGGGAAGGTGCAAGACTTTGGGTTCGGAAACCCTGGGGGCGTTCGGAGTTCAGGGTGTGTGTAGGATTTAGGACGAACACCACACAAACCCACAACAAGCAGCAATAAATCCAAGCCCTCCTGATTCTGCAGAAGACAAAATGTAGGGCGTCAGCGGTACTGGCGCGATGCTGAAGTACAAACGTGCACATGCACCTGCTGTATAGCGTTGACCTAGAGCGGCATGGTTGGGGTACGGGGCCGACAAGAACAACCCCACATGACAAATCTTAGACTGGACAAGACCTCTACCTCTGCCCTCGAAGCCCCTGAACAAGCGGTGGGTTCTGTTTGGGGGTCCCTTTTAAGAGGGACTCTCATTCGGGGTGCATACAGGAGACCGTACACCTGGAGTGTGACCCCTAGCCGACAGACGGTGCAAGGCCTCTAGGGGTTATAAGTTGGTGCTCTAGCATTGGCCACTCTTTGCAAGACCAGCTCCCCCCTCTATTGCGGGCCCACCCATTGACCCGGCATCATGAGCATCTCCCTTATAGTTCCTCTTCCAAGCCTTCAGCGAAGAATGCTCGAAAAAGGGAGTGGCCACTTCTTCCCTTTTCCTAGAAGTAGCCTTCTCATTCTCAAAAGCACGCCCAAGATGGGACCGAAATTGGGGCCAGGCGGATCTGCTACGCAGAGTCTTAGACTAAACCCCTCCTGATTTTTGAGGAGGGAGCTTTCGAAACGAGGCGTCCCAGGGGGGTGGTGAGAGGGCCTATGGATGAACGAACTCTCAAGCACAGTGGAAGACCAGCAGTGTCTGGCACAGTCCTATGGTCTCGTTGCAGGGCACATGAGCTAAAGATGCCTCGTCTACACAGAATGGTAGGGTTAAGTTTGGTTAAGGGAATCTAAGAGAATCTGCCTGGAAGCGGCGGCAGAGCAGTTGACTGAGGAGCAGCTCCAAGGTCATCAGACGCAGGCAAAGCTCCAAAATCCATGGGAACGCGAAGCTTCCAGAGGCCGCCTCTTCGGGTCGTTGCTTTGACACTCATCCTTTTTGGGTCTTTCTTTACGCCTTTCTTCATGTCTTTCTGTAGGTCTTGCTTTACGAATGCCTCATATCTTTATCTCGTCATTCCTGTCTTTCTATGTTTCGTCATCTCCTTCTTTCTGTCGTTGATTTCAGTGTTCCTTTACTTAGTTCGTTTTTTTCCTTTAGCTACTTCTTTGCTCATTAGGCATGCGCTGCTCCTGCATCGCAAAACTTCTATACTGGTCAGGTGTAGGATGCTCGGGTCGGTTTTGCGACCTTAGTGGCAACCTTCGGACGAGTCCTACAAAAAGCCCAACAACCGTTGACCCTTCATGCGTGAACCCGCTCTCTCTCTCTCTCTCTCACCCACTCCAAACATCTCTAAACCAGTTACTCTGAATTCTCTCTCTTGCTCGCTTCATGCCATGAACGAGAGTGCAGAAGGCATATAGGGCATAAGGAAGCATGAGCATCATTTCCTTGACACCCAGAATCGGCAACCGGTCAGCAGCAGCTTTCGAAACGGGCTCTGCTGTGCGCTTCTTTGGGACTCTGAAGCCACGCCTCGTCCTCCAGCAGATGTTTCAAGCACTTGGGGAGCGACTCGCAGTAGGTCGGTGAAGCAACAGAGAGCAAGCTTGACAAGACCTGGCACAGTCAAAGTAGGCAAAAGAGCCCCTGAGCAGAACATGACGACAACATGACGACAATCCTCAGCATCTGAGCAAGACAGCGTGATACAGCGTGATACAGCGTGCACAGAAGGCAACCTCATGGCCTGCGAGAGGCTTTCGTTGAGGGCATCACAGAGGAACTTTCGCTTTGATTGCGTAGTGACGGAGATCAAAGCAGCCCGTACACCCCTCTCCTCGCAGTCGTAGCTTCTAGAAGGTGTCACAGCATGTCACAGCTTCTCGTAATTAAGGGGAGACTGACCACATTTCACGACGAATGTCCTCCTCCTTAACGAGGCGTCTCTGCACTGCAGCTGCGAGCTCAAGTTCTGAAACCAGGTCCACGGGGTGCACGGGGTGCACGGGGTGCACCACGGAGTCCACGGAGTCCACGGCATATGGGCAGCTTGCTTCTTTGGCATTGCATTCCATGGGATCCACTCAACAAACCCGATAGCTGTGAGAGCTTGTTTAAGATGAAGGCATGTGTTCTATGTTGCCCATGGCCGCACTGAAGCGGCGGTATATTCTAGATTCTAGATTCATATCGTCCACACACACACATTGAATGCACCTGTGGTGAATATGTGCGTGAAGAAGTTTTCTGACTCAGAACTCACCGACTTCTCCCTTTTGCGTCTCGCCAAGGTCGGTGCTCTGGGACCTTCAGCTCCGTGCAGTGCTCCGCCACGTTGATGGTCTCCTTCCAGATCTCTCTCTCTCTCTCTCTCTCTCTCTCTTCCACAAGGTATTTCCCTTAGCATCTCGTGGCAATGTTCGGCAAAGCTTTCTGCCCTGCACCATCCTCCAGCTCGACATAGCTCACCTCGGCTGGTTGGCAAAACTTTCGTTGCAAATACGAATCGACAAGCGCAGCTCCCGAAACACGGCATGGCCCTCTGCCTCCGGGTCAATGCCTTGGGTGAACATGTTCAAAGCCAGCGTAACCAGGCACCTTGGCAAAAAGAGACTCCGGACAACTCGTTACAACCCTCGAGTTACGACAACACCCATGCATCCCAGCTCTTTCCTTCCATGCCTTATGCCCAGCCCCTTCTTGCTTCTGCCGCGGCACACATTGCCCGTGCGTTCGCCGTTTCCGAACAAGCAGCCCTCAACGCGGTCAGCTCCTAGCGAGCCGGGCAGGTGAAGCAACATGATGAGACGAAAAAAATCGCATTCGCCCTACTAATCAATGCCACGTTGGCATTGTTGCATTTGTTGGTGCTACGCTCCTGCCATCAGCGCCAGCTCGGCCGCGGCAATTCCAGTGCCACGATCATTGTGCGGGTGTACACTGATACACCTGCCGATGACTTGCCAGTGACATCAGTGACTTGCCACTTCTCATCGTCGACCCTCTTAACACAGCACGGTGCCCAGGCTAAGGGGCCCGGCACGCAGTCCCGCTGCTTGATGTGAGCGCACATCCATTCAATTTGGTCGGCATAGACCTTGGTCAACAGGAAAGTCCGCTGCTGGCCTTTTGCATGCAAGAACTCATGCTCCGGACATGTGCTGTCGCTCGTCTTGTTGGTTTTCTTCCCACGACTGAGACTCGTACATTTGGAGTGCACATCTCTACTGTCCCGGGCAAGTTGAGGATGACCTGTCAGACTCTGCGTGTCGGCCATCGATTCTTTGGGTACCCGTACGCGTATCAAAGCAGAGTCAGAAGGCATGTGGACCATTGCGGACCATTGTGGACCTGCTTGTCGGGCGTGGGCTTCCACCTGAGCTTCAGAAAGACCGCAGGATCCGTTCTGGGATCCGTCAGCGGACTCATTTGTTTCGACGTCGCTCAGTCGCCCACACGTCCACCACGGCATTGCAGACATCCAGCGCAAAATCGAGCTCTGTGCCGGTGAAGCTGCCCATGTCAGGTTCAAGCTAACTTCTTGCATGCTGCCCCCTAAAATCCCCTAAATGACAGGTGCATCCACACACACAGAATCAAGCTCCTTACGAGCTTCATGCAGTCAATTATGTCAGGAGTGGCAGGAGCCAGCCTTTCAGGTGAGTACTCGAGACGGACGTTCATGCCCTTCATGCGCTCATCCACCAGCTTCCTGGCGAGGTGCTACTCGTCTGTCCAGAGTTCTTGTCTCTAGCCTCAGGGCCTGCCCTTGCATCCGGCATATTCCGACATCTTCACACACCAAAGAAATCTTCCGCACACTCTTACTGACTCCGCACACTACAGTAGCAGTCACTAGCTGTTACTAGCAGCTGGCGCACTTTACAAGGCCAACGCTTTCCAGAGCAAGCTGCTTGATGTCCTGCATGCAGTGAAGGCAGAAGTAGTGAGCACGGTGCGTCAAGAACTCCTCTGTAATTGGAAACACTATTCCAGAGCCTCCCGACCCTTCTTGAAGACAACTCGCCGTTGCCTCAACTGAATGTGAGGAGCATCGGTTCACGGACTTGTGGAGTAGCGGTAGGGCTGCGAAGTGCACACATGCTGCGGCGATACTTTCCCAAGGAATGCGTTGCAACCATACACTAAAGAGCGATGGCGATTGCAAAAGCTCACATCTGTTGGCCCGTTGCTCGGATATCTAAGCATGGGGCAGTTCAGAGGTGGAGTTGTAGACGTGGATCCTGAGCGAAGGGAATGTCCAAGAACCCGAGAAGCACTGCATCAGCAGCAATATGCTTGTCAAAGCAGAAGGCTTTTGTTGAGAGGAAAATGCTGCCAACTACTGCAGCATACTGCATGTCCCGAGCCCAAGAGGCCAAAGATAGTCTGGGAGTGACATGGTGACTCGCTGTTTGCTACCAACGGCACATGATAGAGCACCCTAACGGGTTGAGGGAAACTGGGGCACTGCAAGCCCCACGTAGCTAGCATTGTTCGTTGACCTGAGCGGGCCTTTCCCTCAGAAGCACACAGCGCGAAAATCGTGGAGTTGTCGAGAGATTTGGTGAAATCCGTCGCAGTCTCTCTTGGCAGCATGGCCTCACCTTCATTCGGGTTGCAATGCCAGCTACGAAGGAAACATGTATTCGAGCTTAATCTTCTAGAACTTGGATTGGTAATCACGCATGATAACATGAAAAACCGGACGGTTTCGGTTGAAACTCTGAGGGCCACTGTGAGTCTTGATCGGCAGCGATGGAGTAGGAGTGGCGAAAGCAACAAGAAGGAAGTATGGAAAATGGATGCAATGACTATGCAAGGGCAGGAGCAAAGGAAAACAAACCTCATGAGGAATGTCGCCAAGCGGCTCAAGCTCCAGCTTCGTCAAATGGGCAGGAAAGCCAATCGCGTCAAAGCAATTCGTGGCAAAACCCCAAGTCTGAGGTCGCAACACCACGTTTTTGGCCCCTTTCACACCTAGCATAGCATTCATAGCATTCACAGCTTCATAGCATTGCATCTCCAGCGCACGTGCCTTCTATCGTTCGGAGGATGAGAGGCTCACGGCACTGAGTCAGAACCTCGCCGCATCCATGGCATCCAGGGCTGTACCAGCAGAAGAAGCCCGAACTAAGCCAGAAACATGATACATCTAAATCCCCACCATCACTTCGAATAGCAGTGCAGACATGGAAGCGAAGATACTTCACGGCCTGAATCCAGACATCGTCGGGAATCAAACCCTCCTCAATGATGTAGCCTTATACATCACTGTCATATCAGTGCAATGAACAGACGGAGTCAGCAGTTCAACGTAACGCTTTAAGTTAACAGGGACGAAAATGGACTGGGCTGCACTCTCACTGACACATCTGACACTGAGAAATGAGACTCTGCAAAAGAGGATTCCGCAAAAGCAAATAGGCGGATCCCAAGAAAAAGCCCAGCACGTCACAGGGCTCAGTTCGCTGACGGAGGCTGATGCGGGACACCGGGCACATTGACGTGCGTGTGTGTGCGTGTGAGTGTGAGTGTGAGTGTGAGTGTGAGTGTGAGTGTGAGTGTGAGTGTGAGTGTGAGTGTGAGTGTGAGTGTGAGTGTGAGTGTGAGTGTGAGTGTGTGTGTGTGTGTGTGACAGAACGCGTGTGTGCGTGCGTGCCTGCACGCGTGCGCAAGTGCACGCGCCGGTGCTGGTACACGCGCGCATGCGTGTGCGCGTGTTTGCGCGAGTGCGCTTGTTCGCGTGTGCGCAACCCTTTAGTTACTTTCGTGAATGGCATTTGTCAACGCCATAAATCGGATCTCTGAAGCGCTTCAACGTTCATCCCACCCAACCCCTGAGACCAATCCAGAGCTTTAGGGCTCAAGGGGGGCAGTTGATCACCCAGTCGATGCCATTTGCAGGGCAAAAGGCTTTCGCAAAGAGCCTCACCACCATGGATTGACAAGTAAAGTGCCAGGTTCCAAAGAGACGCCTCCCCTGGACCAGGATCTGAGAGCCCCCGTGAGAGCAAAGGCAGTCGAGAGCAGCACCACTTTGAGCAAGACTTCAGAGCGGGGCCGTTGCATTTAGAGATTTACAGGTGCATGTTGCTTCAGCATGGTTCTGCCTTGCAGCTTTCCTTGCACTCCCAGACTCCCAGAAACCTTCTGCAATGGGGAGGTGTACCAACGATGCAAACGTCCGGTCTGACGCAAAAGGAAGAGCTCATGAAGAGCTCGAGAAACGACTGAGAATGCTTGGAAGAGGCACTGAAGTCACTGAAGAAGGCACCCACGAAGGCACTGAAGTCAGCTGTAAGCATGTGACGAATGAAGTCAAAGTCGGTCTGGCTGGCCGCAGGGAAGCCGACCTCAAAGCGAGCAGCCAAGGGTGGCTCACCTCCTAAACTCCTAAACTCCAAAACTCCATTTAAATCCCAAAAAAGACAAAGATGATGACGCCAAAGAGGATGAATGTGACACAAATGCCGCCTCGATCTCCTTGTAGCCCAGCTTCAGCAAATGCAGGAAGAGGCGCAGCCTCGTGAATCTGAAGTACATGGTAACACTGGTAAACATGATAGTACAGGGTTGCTGTCAGATCCACATCATCCCCGGATCTGCAATGGAGGAGGGTTCTCAGACGATGGCTTTTTCTCGTGGTTCATTGGATTGACCAACGCCTGATGGACAGCTTCGCAGGGAGCATCTTTGCAATCCGGAAGTCATGCATAAGCTTGGGTCACATGCACTCGACATGCATAAACATCACTTGCACACACACACACACTCTCTCACTCACTCGAAAACCTGATTGCCATCGCGCAGGTCGACTGTGCACCAGCGCGGTGCCTGGACACGATAACGGAGATAAAAGCGGACGGCAACCACTTGGCAAACCTAGCTCACTGCACAATGCCTTGGTCACCCGCTTCTCCGGCCAAGTTCTCTTTGGCCTCTTCAATGATGTGAATGGCAACTCCGTCATGGTCTAATATATGCTAACATACATAGCCGTGCTTGGAACTTAACACGCAAGCACCACGAAAACGTTGACCATCATCAAAGGAAGGATTGATTGGGATTGTGGACGGCATGTCTTCACAACAGCCGAATTATGCTGTCCACACAACTGAGAGGCGCTGGCGAACACAGGAATTCGCCTCGGCCTCGTCCAGGAGGCGTCAAAGGCTCCCGATAATTCCCGACAGGACCCCCTGATTCCTCCTCGACAATGCCCTCTCCAGAATAGCCCCCTTGTTGGCCACACCCCCCTTTTGCCAAGTTGTCTGCGCTTTCGCCGAGGCGGGCGACGCGCAGCTTTTGAAACTAAACGAGTGTCCGGAAGCATGAACTCTAACTTGGCGGCTCGGCCACTTGTCGTCAAAGGGAATTTGGTACCTAGCACAAGACGCAGGCGCCCGGCAGCCCAAGGGACGGCGGTCTTCCAGCCGGACGCCGAGGAGAAGAGAGCCGAGAGCCGAGAGGCAGGCCAGTTTTGGAAGCTCCGGTACTTCTCCACCTGAGCGCGGACCGCATCCGCGGCATCGCTTCTCCAAGGCTGAACTGTTGAATACCTGCCCTGCAAGCCAAGCCTTCATTCGGGGAAGACGCTCTTCGATGCGTGCTTTCTTGACCACCTGGCTCGCTGTGGCGTGTTTGACAGTGTTTGACCTCGAGCCACTCTTGGCAGTGTGTGCCTTGGTGTCGCCATTGTCGCCATTGGCATAAACCTCAGGTCATATCCCATGAACACCGAGGCCGATTCACACGCATGCTCCATGAGTCTTGGCTTCCGACTGCCATGACCCAGAGCCTCTCCAGGACACAGTGCTTTCTCATGCTACATGCCGAACTGAATCCCGCATCCGCCTGCGCCACAGGCCGGGAGAAATCAAACGACCTACGTCTGCAACGGTCTAACTGAAGCCAAAATGAAGGGAGAGCAGCACGTCGCCCCAGCATCTTCCGGAAGTCTCTTTCATGACTTTGGATGCAACCAATACGCATGTTCTTTTTCAGCTCACTGCAGAAACACACTGTCACATCTGAAACGCTGGGACAGCAAGCTGACTTGCGAGGCAGACAGATGTCCTCGTTCAATCACTACGGCCTGACATTCAGTTGGCCTGTGGTCGCCAAGTCTCCTTTTTCACCTGCAGGTGCAGCGACAACCGTGTCAATGAGACCCAGCAACGCTGCATGGCAGTGTTTATCATGCGCCATGCTTGTCCCAGCCACCTGCTGCGTCCCGATGGCCGTAGCTTTCGGCGACTGCAGGCAGTACGACAAGAACAGAGCAGAAAGGTCATACTGGATTAACTTGGGCGGTAGCAAATGTTCTGGACCCTGATAGCACTACCTACGGCCCGTCTGGGATGCCGACAGGTCGTGTAACTCTCCACACGATGTCTGCAGCAAAGAAGCCGAGGACAATCGCTACCTGGCGCTTTTACCAACACAACGTCTGGTGCAAAGGCTCCTGCTCTGGGAACATGCCAGAACTGCCGAAACGAGACAAACAACTGTGAAGTAGCCGAAACGCACGAAGTCTTCCTGGCAAGAAAGCAGCTGCGTGGCCAGTCAAGCGAGAACCGATGCAGGAGCACCGCTTTGATTGCTGAGGTCCTTGAATTCCAATTCACACGTTGGACCCGAGTAGGGTGATCGACAAAAGCAAACTCCATGACCACAAATTCCTGAAAGCAAGCGAAACAAATCGGAACAACGTGTGAACGTCAGCTGCTGGCGAAAACTGGAAACCGATTTCGCTGCTCCTCTGTCGGGAGCACACGCTGGGTCACAGCTGCTTTGGTTGGTTTTGACCGCCGTCCTTGTGTTCGACTCGAGGCTGAACTGCACTGTAAGAATCTGTAAGACTACACAACGACAACTCTACGCGCGTCTCGCTGGGAATCGTGCGCCGGAGCACTGGATGCCAGTGGGCCCTTCCTGCGTGGCGAGGGCCATGCACTTCCATTCATTTCTGCCATTTTGAAGTGGCACATCCCAGCTCGGCTCTTTCAGCATGTTGCATGTTCCTCTCGGGGCTTAGTCAGCCACTGCTATTGGCACGGAGCTGAAATGATCCAGACACCAGAGCCACATCCTTTATAGCAAGCAGCAATCGCCCTCCTATTCGAAACGGCAACTGCTTCAGCGTGCTTGCATTTGCTCGCCCTGGAAGGTCTCTATCAATGCTTGGCAATTGGCAACCGACAGATCAACTGACAGAGCTCCTACAATCATATCCGGTACAAGTCGGCTTCCAGATAAGGCTGGCACATTGCTCAACGACAAGGATGACGCCACTCTTACAAGACTGCTGTCCTTCTCGCTAGGTAGTGATTGACTCGACTATGCTCACACAGATTTCGACGAAAGTTCCCAAAGAGCAGTCTTACACTGGCACTTTCCCAAGCCGTCTCATCTCTGCCAGGAGAGTCTGTGCCTGCAGGATTCGCTATGCATTCGTTATGATCTGCGAGCGTGTGTGTCTTATTTTGTCTCAATGCTTGCCTGCATCAACACAATGTAACTTAACAAGTAGTCGCGACAGACATTGAGCATCATTGAGCTTCAAACCTTGCGTATTCGGCTCATAAGAACAGCCGACGGGTTTGAGGCCCGAAGCCTCAGACGTGCACTGACAGAAATGAACTCGCGCAAGGAGAGCGAACGGTCAGTCAACCCTGGGATTCCGGCGGCCCTTCGTTCAAAATGCGACACTGAAGCCTCAGGAGTCTGCAGAACACAGCAGAAATCCTGGCAAAAGCCTGCGAGCATCGTGAAAGCTTGGGCGTCAGGTGCCGGGCTCAACAGGCAATGCCCTGAGCGCATTCTCAGCCTAGGGCATGGCCAGATATGGCAAGTTACACTGCGCACATTACTGCGTACAAAGCTGTGTACAATAGTTAGGCCCTCGGCGGAATAGTCCACTGCGTGTTGCATGCAGAACTTGGCCACGGGGTCCCCAGCAGCAGCTGCAGCCTGAGGCCAAGGCCGTCGGGGCCAAAAATGTCTTAAGGGAATCAGTTGGAAAACACCATGAAAACACAATGAAAACACAAAACTGACTCGCAGTCAACGTATGAGTGCACTTCTTGGCGCACGCCCTGGTTTATGATCCTGCTCCCTCAAGACTTTTCTCCCCGTCAACAAGATTCTCTGACCACCGGGGATAAGCCAAGACAGCATCCGAGAGCACCCTTCTGATGCCGTCAACGCCCTTGTCAACAGCCGATTGGGGCAATGACCACGGTCTCTGGCCGAGGTCGATGTAATCCGGCGGCTGCCGCGCTGGCCGCCTAGCGTACACTTTCTGCCATGGACCGCACAATTGCGATGCATTCTGGATCAGAGAAATCCAGCAGCTGTCAGTCCAACTGAATCCCTTCTGCTCTAAGCCATGCACACCAGCATTGTTTTCGACCTGAGTGAATGCCATATTTTCTGGCTATATGTCTTTATTAAGGCCTGCCTTCTCTCTACCGAACTGCATGTGGAGCAACACCCGGCCGCAGCTCACCGAAATGTCCGTCGTGCCGCAGTTATGGCTAAAGACTGATTTTCAATGAGGGTTGCCTGTCCCACACCCGAAATCCCGGATTCCAAGAGATGCTCTGAGCAATTTGCGTGGCAGAGTGACTATATGTCATAACATGTCATAACACGTCATAACAGTGCAGTTGCAGATGTACTTTTCGTTCGCGCCAGTTCCGTCACCAACGATGACGAGAGATGGGCAATTGCTGGCCTACTTGCTTTTGCCAAGGCGGTGGAGTGCCCGGCTTGTTGAAATACTTCGGGTGAGAAGCGAATCGATGACACGTGCCACGTCTGTGCGCTTATTGTGCGATGCTTCACGCCTCATGAGCGCAGGCCGGATCAGGTGTCTCGGATGCATTGATTGTGCGGCCCGAAATGTTTTCAGGCCATCTTGCTAAGGATGCTCGACTAGACGAAGTGAGTCTTGCCGCTGGCACCCGGCAGGAGGAAGTCCTGATTCGGCACCTGCTGCTCAACAAGCAAACACCGGCCTTGTCATAAAACGCTGCCACAACAGTTTCACGACAAGGTTTTGACAACTTCAGGCCTTGCGATTGAAGCTGACACCGCCAATCAGCGCTGCAACAATGAACAGCCCGAATCCCAGCACGATGACGTTCTTAGACGCACCACTCTGAAACAGAGAGGAACGGCTTGCAAGCAACCCGCTGTAGCTCGCGATGAGCTCCTCATCTTCACTCCACTGCGACATCCAGTGCAGGTCCTCCTTCTTCATCGTTGCCAGAGGAATCTCGGCTTTTGTGTCCTTCCATAAGCACTCTCTCTCTCCCTCTCTCGCTCTCGCTCTCTCCTCAACAAGCACGGCTTCTTCCATACACCTGCCTTGGCATGGGCTTCCATTTCATCATCCGAAGCAAGATACCTTGAGAAAGTCAGGCGCTGGAAGCTGGCTCAGTCTCAACGCCGTCAAATGCCGAATGTTCTGAATGTTTGAAGTAGAACTCTGCTAGCAAAGGCAAGCCAAAGCCAAGCCAAAGCCAAGCAAAGCCAATTGGAGGGGTCGGGGGACCTATATTGCAAAATTGCTACAGCGCAACTGCGTGGTCAAACTTCACCATCCCAATTGACAACAAAGCCCCAGCAGCTTCAGCAAAGTGTCCTCAAGTGGGAGGTCGGACAAGACATGAGGGAAATTCTACAAGTCCGGATAGCTGTGTAGTCTCCATAGTCTCCAACACTCTAACTAGACGCCTCAGGTTTGTCGCCCGTCTGTTTCTGACTCGCAACGGGTCCTTCAGTTCCCGCACCAACACTTTATGTTCCATCACTGAAATTGTTCGCCCGAGTTGCCCGTCGCCAAATTGGGTGGGCGAGAGCGACTGGGCTTCCCCAGACTTGTGCGGAAAGGAGCAATCGCGCGGGAAGACGTAGTGGAGCCACTGTGCAAAGAGCCGACCATGGATCGGAACTTTGCCACCGTGGGCTTTTGCAATGGAGTGAAGCTGCGCAACTAAGGACTCATCCAAGCGCACGTCCACCTGAAGGCGTACGTTCTACATGTGTCTGTATGGCACCCCCCCTCCCCCCCCGCATGCACCTACCGGCTTAGGGTTTAGGACTTGGCTTTCGTGTTTCTTCAAGCAGACTTTCAAACAACACTGCAAAAAGTCATGTTTTCTGAGAGCGGCCTTGCCAAAAAAGTTGTTAAAGGCATGATTGGAAAACTGAGTGTGGCCTTGCAAAACACATTGGTTTCTTTCCCATGTTTTGGCAAGCATGCTGTCGAAAACACCGGAAAACCACTGATAAAAACCATACAAACCATGCAAACCATGACTCTCGAAACTACCGGCCAACCCAGCCAGTAGTTTCGAAACCATGGTCTTTGTGGCGTTTTTTTCTCCAATGTTGGAGAGCATGGGACCACAAAACATTGGACAAAAGCAATGCTTTGTGAGACTGGCCTAGCAAAATCATTGGTAGTTCCAACATTTGGCAACCAGACCTTCAACAAACCATGGAAAACCCATATTTTCTGAGTGTGGCCTTGCAAAAAATTGGTTGTTCCCACCCTCGGTGTGGAGATGTTAGATTTTCAACTCAACTCTTTTCGTCGCGGGGTCTACTCCTCGCCCATCACCCGTATCCCACCCAAAGTGTCTCTTTTGTTGGTTTTCAGTGGTGAGAGCCTGGACCCACAGAACATTGGGAAACCAAAGTCTTCTGAGAGTGGCCTTGCAAAACCAATCTACTTTGGAAGGCACTTGGCGAAAACATTGGAAAAATTGGCGTCGCTTTCTGAGAGGTGCCTCCCTGCAAAAACGTTGGCTTTCCTATATTTATTGCAAGCATGCGCACGAACGAAAACATTGAAAAAAACCAATAAAAACTATAATGACCATGAATTTCAAAACTAAACCAGCCAGTGGTCTCGAAAATCTTGGTTTCTCCATGCTTTAAGAGCATGGGCCCATAAAACATTGAAGGAACAAGAAAATGAAATAACATGTTTTCTGAGGGTGGCAAGCATGCTTCCGAAAACATTGGAAAGCCCAATAAAACCACAAAAAACATGATTTTCGAAACTACTCGGCCACCCCATTCTCGAGCAAAGGATGGCCGTTGAACGAGAAACCGATAAACCATTCTCTGAAAAAAAGATTCAAAATCCAGGGGGGTGGTAGCTGCTGTCTACATGCATGTATACACATGTGTATACGCATACATAGATACATATGTCAGATATGCACACATGGTCACTTCTCTAAAGTATGGTCCCTCTTGGGGTTGCTAGCATCAGGTGGCCCCGAATATTTAGGGTAACCCAAAACGGACCCTAACTTAGAGAACTGACCAGAAATAACTGGACAGCAACGCTGAGCGCACAAGAAGGCAACAGAGAAACCAGAAGCTAACTTATGCTAACTTCAGCGAGCCACTTCATCCTCCAGTGTGGTCAAGCTGGTCATATTTCCCACCAAGGAAAGCATGAAGTCAGGCTCTGCCAGCGGGCCTTCGACGGCTGCTTCAATCTCCTCCATAATTGGCTCGCACTCGTTGACGCAGCAAACGGAGTAGTGAGAAGCCGTAACAATGCCTTGCAAGTTTCTGGCAACATGTTAGCGTTGCAGAAGCACCTGCTCAGATAGTGAAGTGATATACTTTGAAAAGTCTTTGAAATAACCGTTCCCACACCATCCCACAAGAAAAGTCGCAGCCAAAAGGCAGTTGGAGGCGCCTTGGATGTAGTTTGAGATGATCACCTGCTTTCCCAGCCAGGAAGTCTCATCCAGCGCTCCAAGCTCCCCTCGGCGCTAAACAGGTTGCTAAGGCTGACGTCCCTCTTGAACCACGTCACGCGTTTACTAAATAGAAATTAAAAAATGCGCGCTTGCATAGAACGTCATCCGAATGAAGGCTTCGAGGGAGACTTTTGAAGTCTT